AAGTTTGCGCTTGTAAGGAACCGAGCTGCGGTCATATATGCTTGTCCAGAACCAGAACTGCGCCGCGGCTCTTCAAGAACTATCGGAACATGCTGAGAGGACTATCCAAGATGATCCAACGTTTGAAGATCGATTCCCGTATCGCATCATCATGTCAGGCTTAGACGGATGGTCAGCCCTAATCCTCGGAACCCAGAGACAGCAACCCGAAACAAAGCCCTATACTCAAGGAACTTTTGAGTACCCCATGCATCTTAATCGTACCCTGCCCAACGTGCAAGCAACCGATTTGTTGCGGGGTATGTTGGTCCAGAACCAAAAGTGCGCCGCAGCTCTCCAAGAACTGTCGCAGCATGCTGAGAAGACTCTCGAGAATGACCCAACCTTCAAAGGTCAATTCACGTATCGGATCATAATCTCTGGATTAGACGGAGGTTCGGTGAACAACGACAGCTGGGCAGACCTGCAACAAGTCTACTCTCGCCCGCGCGGCCAGCTTCTCGTATGTGATGACAGAGGCGTCCCTGCGCCTGAAGACCCCGTCGTGACTCAGAAATCGATGATGGACTGGGCCACTCCTGCATGTCTATTGTCGAGAGCCCAGAGAGAAAGGATACCCACAAGCATGTTGTGCTCCTCACTGACATCAAGAACAGAGAAAGCTTCCGGGCACATATCAGGAGTGCATCAGCACAGTAGCACAACCAGCTCTAAGCTCATCCGCCAGCATCTTAGCCGCCTTGAAGAGGAGCATGCTTGGCACAGTAGGGCCATAGAGGTCCTCAAGCTGTTCGAGTGGACAGAGGTCGACACACCCCTCTACCATGAGGCTTTGACTGCAAGACCTAGCGGAGATCTATCGGAAAGTTGGCTTTGCGCAGGCTCAAAAACTTTTCCCATCGATCTTCAAATCTGCTTAACCCCTCTTCTGCCCCTTCGGTCCCTCGCAGGAAACCTGACGATCAAACTAACGAGAACAAACACGACTTTACCAACTCCGCTGCTCCCACCGCTCCAGCCCATTTGATCCCCAAAAGAGACCTGGCAAATTCCACAAGAGCAAGTACCATCTTGCTTGTGACTTTCATCATCGTAGACATTAGAAGTGTGTCGGGAGCAATGCCAACGGTCCTTACGACAACTGCCTCTGGGTTTAGGGAAGCTTGGGCGGGTGGCATCGCTCGAAGCTTGATGAGACATGCTCCTCAGTTGCAGCAGTTGTGGCTACAAGAGAACGGTGATGGTGGACTGGGAGAGCTTGTGAAAGAGACTTGGGAGGAGATGGTGGACGAAAGGGATGGCTAGGGTGCCGTGAAGATGGAATGACGGGTCCTGAAAAGGTACTCCAAGATCCACAGACTTGTCTTGTTACGCAGATCTGGAGCCGATATCAATATTCCTGCTGCTTACATGACTCAAAGGCGTCCCAGCAGGTTCCACAAGGGCACATCTTGCCTTGCATACGACGGATGCCATCGCAAGCACTGGCAACAGTCTGGAGTTTTCGACCATCCCTGTCTCAGTGTTGAAGAGATGGATGACAGACTACGACTGGGAACAATCAGCCAATGGATCATGGTCACATTGGATTGGCTGAAGGCACAGCAGATTGTATGTCTTCTAACTGTTTCAATACCCATGGCGGTCCAAAATCTTGTCTGAACACGCAGACCCGAGGGGTTTGCCAAACGCTTGAGCTTGTTTTGTACGGCAACCACATTATCTCTGGCACCTTCAGCTTATTCTACGGCTTACCACGGCCGACGACACCATGACTCAAGTCAACAAGTAGGAGAAGCCCAGGACTCAATTCTGTAAGGGCATCCTCTACATCAACATTCAGAAGGCAAACAACTTCTACGACAAAAGGTATATGAGACTTTCAAAGGCTCCGAGCAGCACATTTGAGCTCACACGCCGTCCCGAGACCAGTATTCATAAGCGACAGATATATATGCCCCAGTTTGCTGACTAGGACGAAATTCAGCCATCGATAAGAGTAAGGCTTACCTGGAAGCTCCTGCGCCAGAAATCTTGGTCACGATCGCCGAATCTGCAGAAGATGTGGCCTTCAACAACCTTCGTTCCACTTCCAAGACGGTTGAAAACGCTACTCACTCCGAATTTATACGTTATGTATCAGATCGCAACCATTTGATGACCCACTTTGGTATCGAGTTACTTGTCAACATTGTTCACGACCGCCTCTTCGGCAAACACATCACAACCATTGTCTTCAATATTATAACAGACACTGTGCCGTCCTTGCGGGTTTCCTTGTGCGCACTATGGCGTCTCACGGAGCTGTGCCCATGAACAACAACGCCTCTTCTTCTCACCTGCTGTTCTAAAGAGATCTAGATGCAAATCCTGAGTTACCATAACGACGACTCTCTCAAGAGCAGTTGTTCTTGCGCGTTCCTCTGCCTCTCTATAAGCAGTGCATCTCTTATGACAAGAAGTCACGCCTGAGGACGAAAAATAGCCCGACTATACCATGACATTCAACATGGTTAACAAGCTTCGGCGGAACAGGTTGATAGTCTGACACTGACCTTTGAGGCTTTCGACTACCTCAATTAGAGTCTCTTCTCTACTTTAGTGAATACCATCCACGCACTTGCTTGGTGCAACCGGCCGCACCACTGCAAGCATGCCTAGATAAGCTATATAGCGTGCTGTCAACCACAGAATGAAGCAGGTGCTGAATTCGCGTAAGTTATTCATCACGCAGTTGTACGTCAGAAGTTGACTTGTAAGAGATAAGGCCCAACTCACGACCGTTCAGAATCGCATGGTCAATGAAAACGCCATTGCGCCAAAAAGCCACGGCCTCATGTCGAGGGGGGACTGGTGTATGTGATTGACTCTAGTCACGAAACCCTCCGACCCAACAGACCCGAGCAAAGAGAGAGCTTGTCTAAGCATGTCAGGTACATAAGGCACATAAATAGAGGAGGAGATGAATACAGGTGTAAGCTGCAGTTACGCCCAGTTCCAGGACTTCTTCAACAACGGCTTCACCGCTCTTGCTCGCAACCTTCTCACCATCATCCAAAAGTCAAGTATGAGCAAGTTATTACCTATCACTGCAGCCTCGACAGCTCCTACCACCCAGGGGGTAGAGCTGAGCAGAGTCGAGACTGACCAGGACCATGGAGACGGATACTTGGTCTGGGGACATGTGGAAGTCGACATGATTTCTAGCTCCCAACCAGGCGATGCAGCCTTCACGTACGCTGCTTTCTAGCCTCAATCTAACAATCTCTACACCATCGTTACCCCGAACATGCGTTTAAGTCAACCCAGTACTCGAACGGGAGCGGAGAACTACCACAAAATGTTCAAACCCGAAGGTTTTTGCCGGATATGATGATATCCGCAGAGACCTCTAAAGCTGATCATCCTCAACGGCATGCATTCATGGCACCCACTGGCTGAAGGCGACGTTAGTGACCATGCATCGATTGCCAGTCATGAGTTTCGCGCAGTCATCAAGGATCTGGAGCGCAACGACCACGTCCTCATCGTCATATGCAGCCATGCTGGCTTCGCCACCCATGATGGCCAGTCTCACCGTTCCTAACGGACGACGGTGTCAATAGGAGCATCATTTTCAGAGCCTCGGTCTGGGCTCGCAACCCCTCCGGCGATGATTTGGTCAAATCACCAAGGAATGTTCCACCGCTACTCAAGTCAGCTCCGTCCCTGCTAAAACTGCCCCTCGCGAGAGCCGTATCAGGTCTTACGTTTACCAATGCTTAAAAATAGATGATTGCTGACGGGATCAGTTTTGGGAGAGGAAGGCACACATGATGACACCGTCGAAGTGTACGCCCAAGCCTGACAAGAGATGCGTGAGCTCTATAAGGACAGGTCGATCAAGAAGAAGAGAGGCAAGCAAAGAAAGTGGTAGGATCCAACGCAGATGACGAGTCTGCCTTCTTGGGCGTCAGCCACCGCCGCTTGGTCTCGCTTCTCACAATACCACCCAGGACCCTAGACAACTTCTTTAGTGAGACATTAGTGGGTGTCTGAGTGTTCGTCCAGGCGCGATTTCGCAGCGAAATAAAGACTGGCCTGCTGGCCCAGATTGCCTCTGACCATTACTCCAAAGTCACACGACCGGCTGTTTTGGCGCCGTCAAGAGCCACAACAACGATACCATAGACTGTTGGCGTTATGGACGTGAGCTGGCATTGCCACACCCAAATGACGGACTTACGCATCATCTATGTACAAAACAAAGCATCGGATAGGACAAGCTTCGCAACGCAGGTTTGAGATCACGCTGTTGTGAGATCAGTGGTACAATCTACTGCAATATAGCCCAAAGTATATGAGAGAGTTACTCACTATTCTTGCAGATGCAGCTGCGAAACGTGTCTCTTGACTTGCGTAATCGCTATATGTCTACGGCTGTGCTAGTCAGTAAATCAAAACACAGGGAGAGTTCCTCTGCGCACAAAGCCCAAAGACACTCAAGCGCCCCACTGACCTTCCCGCCTCAAAACCCCAAAGTCGGATAAATCGCTATAAAGAATGAGTTTTAGAAAACAAAACACCAACAAAGTTCTTACAAAGATCATTCCATGTTAAGATATCCACACATTGTTATTCTGGGGAAGATTCAACGGGGGAATCGTGGCAAAAGAGGCAGATGCAAGATCGATGGATGGGATCTGCAACTCATAAAGTTACTTCCTTCACGTCTTAGGCTGCTAAGCACAGATATAGGTAGCATTAACGGTTGGCGGTGGTAGCCAGCAACCTCAACTCACAATAATCCGCAACATCAATTGTACATGTAAACACACCAAAACCTCGAAAGTATAAGAAGGCAACCAGTAAAAACAAGTTGGAAGGAACAAAAGAGATCACAAAAAAAGAAAACCAACAATCAGATATCGTGAGTTAGCTACTATAGAATTCCCCAATGCCTAAACTCTCCATCTCTTTTCAAACTCTGTCTTCGGAAATGTAAGAAGAGATGAGAAAACTCAATGGTTTTCCTCGGCTTTGTAGCCACTCTCGCCTGGACGGGAAACAGCCTTGAATTGGTCTTCTGTGACTCCCTTGCCCATGGCAGCAGTACTAGACACACCGCCCGAGACCATCTTAAGCAACTCATCGACATAATTAGCTCCAGACCATTTCTGATGCTTAAGAACCTCTACACCATTCTGNNTGAAAGTATGTTAGTAACTGGTTTGAAACTTAAAAGGATGGAAGGAGCAAAGGGGACAACTTACTGCTTCTTCTTTGCTCTGGATGGTTTCGCCGTAAGCGCGCATACCACGAGCAGCATAGTCTTTGCTGAACGAATCGGCGATCAAAGCTGTTTGGTGCAAGCCAGCCAAAGTAATGAATTGCCAGCAGTAGCCGAGCTTAGCCAGACGCTTGATGTAGGTTTCCTGGTCGGAAGTGCTCATGGCAGTCTGCCAGTTGAAAGAGGGCGAGAGGTTGTAGGCGAGCTTTTGCTCAGGCCAGACGGCATGCACGCCGGTTGCAAACTCTTCGGCTTGGGCGTAGTCGGGCAACTTGGACTCCATCCAGATCATGTCACAGTAGGGTGCGTAGGCGATGGCGCGGTTGACGGCGCATTGGCAACCGCCGCGGTAGCGGTAGTAGCCCTCTCGTGTGCGGGCGGACTCCCAGTCGAAGTGAACGTCGACGCCAGTAAGAGCCTTGGCAATAGCGCGAGATTCGGCGTTGGACTTGCCTTTGGCCTGTTCGGTGAATTGTGCAATCAACTCGGCCTTGTTGACATGGACACCAGCGTTGATGGTGTCGACGACAGCTTCGGAGAAGAGCTTGAGATGGGCTTGTTCGGTCCATGTATCTTCGATGGCTTGAAGCTCTTCGCCGGATTTGCCTGCTGCCTCGGCAGCACCCATGAGTTCGCTGAGGGGTTGAAGGGCGGGGTTTGTGGCGCCGACAATGAAGGCGTGGTCACGGGGGTCGATGGTTGATGTGATGAGGGTTGCGGCTTCCGAGTCTGTACGGGCAACGGCGAGGAGGTCACTGCCCATGATGTCTGCTTGGGCACGAATGGCGACAAGACGGTTAATGTGTTCGCTGATAGGTACAAGTACCTTACCAGCCATGTGTCCACACTTTTTCGTTCCAGGAGCTTGATCTTCAATATGAATGCCTGCGGCACCTTTCTCGATAAAGAGCTTTGTGAGCTTCATGATGGCTGTGAGGCCACCGTGACCAGTGTCGGCATCAGCAACGATCGGGCGTAGGAAGTCAGTGTTGGCGAGGTTCTTGCGTTCGGAAGCGGNGGTCGAGAGTCTTTCATGGCGTTGCTTGCGGTCGTGGAAAAGCTGAGCCATGAAAAGATGTTGGACCTTGTCTGGGACGGTTGTGTAGGGGTAGTCCGCAAGATCTGGTCCGGGTTCGTCTGTGGATGATGCGGTCGAGGAACTTTGCCAGCCAGAGACGTAGACGGTGTCGAGGTACTTGGCCATTTGTGTGACCATGACGGGGTCGAGACATCCATAGGTGAAACTAGCATCTTTCTNCCTGTTGTCCTGTATCAGAATTGAAGCTTCTCAGGCCATGGAAGCTTAACTTACGGCAAATCTCTTCTCGACAATGTCCCACAACTTCTTGGAAAGGGCGTTGCTTGGGTGCTGAATCATCAAGTTTCCACGCTTGTTTGCAATCTCCTCAGCGGTGAAAGGACGCTTGGTGTATCTCCAGCGAGGCGAGGTCCACCATTGCTTGATGGCGGCAACCTCATCCTGGTATTGCTGCTCTTCGGCATCGAGAGAAGAAGAAGACATGGTTGGAAGAACCTCCTTGACGTGGCCCAAGATACTCTTGAGTCTTTCTGCCAGCTTGGCGGTGATGTGATGGAGTGGAAAGTCGTGTAATAGAGGTCGTCAATTGAACTGGAAGATTGGTCCTTTGCAAATTTACCAGACACTCGAGATGGTACGGGGCACAAAAATGATGTAGGAGCCACAAAGGTGGGGAGACAAGAGCTCATATATACCTCTGAGGAAGACTCGAGGGTTTCATATGACTTACCGGTACTCGATGAGGGCTACCAGCGTCACAAATCAATAAGAAACATGACCGGGGCCAATCGGATCAGTGGCTACGATGGTAGACTCAGACCTTCGTAGCAAAAAGAAGATGCTGGACCTCGGTGAGAGCTCCTTACCTGCGATTTTGGCCATGACGAGGCGCCGAGCGGTTGCGACTTGACGTTGACTCCCCTTCATCCGAGGCTTCGAAGAACGAGAACCTAGAATGACAAAGCCAAGCATCTGGGGAAACGCACATGAAAGTTCGTCAGTCTGGGGAACCTGATGCCGAACGTTACCCGAGCTATCGACGACCGTCTTACAACATTTTTTGTCTGATACGTTCATCGACTTGCGCTCAATCTAGCCAGGGACGACGAACCATTGTCATCAAGCAACGAATAACTCAACACCTGCGTTTTGGCAAGCTGTCTCTATTTCTTGCATATGGGCACCGCGGGCGTCAAGAATTGTACACAAATTGTTTGCTCATGACGCACGAAGCTGAAGACGTTCCTTGCAGTAGTGTAGACGTTTCGTAGCCAGACCCAGAGCGTAGCACGTTCATGACCGAGGCTGTTACTTCCTCCAACGTCTGACATCGGACAAGTACCGAAAGCACTCTGTGCTCGTGTACCTGATTATTGACTCATTCACGAGATTCTCTCGGAACAGGTTCGGCCAAGATGAAATGTTGCCGGTCGTGTTCATCTGGGATATTCTTCAAACACCGGAAGGAAGATAGAGGCCATGTGTATTGGTATATACAGGCAAAACATGCGCCGAGCTGACTCATATCTTGGAGGTTCTTGTGCCTGTCTTCAAGCTGCCCTCGCCAGCGAGGTTTTCAGAAATGAAGCGAACTGCTTCGACCTTCATCTTTGCACTGTACTCATGACCAGCAGTCTCGTCGACAATATCTTCAAGCACAATCCCTTGGTCGTTGAACCAACCTTCCTTCTTGTCAAGTCCGCTCTTTAGCCAATCTAGGAAAGGCGCACTGCAGGTATAGGGTACGAGCTTATCCTTTCCACCAGAAAGACACAATATGTGCTTGCCTCCCAGCTTTTCCTTGATCAGAGATCGTAGTGTCTTCTTCTGCTCTTCTGTCGGTTGCAGCTTGTCGCCTACAAGGAAAGACTTTGGATCCCACTTGTCGGTGGCGTCGCAAAGGCCTTTGGGATAGTCTGTTGAGCCGAGGAAGTCGTTGCCTTCTGAAGCTGTCCATGTTGAGAGTTTTGACTTCTTCGCACGATCAGTCATGAGGAATTTGTAGTCTGGACAACCGATGACCACAACAGCAGTGGTGATGCGAGGATCATGCAAGACGCATTGCCACGTCGAATGACCACCAAGCGAAATACCAAGAGCGAGATGTTTGGTGATGGTTCTTGAAGAGTCTGGGAAGATATACGAGGAGAGGAAGTCGATCAACATTGAGGTGTCTTGAGCAGTTCCGTCTGTTCACCTTATGGTCAGCATCATGTTGTGCTAGAGCAGCTGGCTGGGGGACGAACGGAAGACAGAGAACATGTCCTGAGCATGTGTCGGGTTGCCCTTCTTCCAGCTCTCATTGGCCAACGGATTGACCTCTCGTGTACCATGGTTGCGCTGGTCAANAGATACAGCAATTAGGCCTTTGGACTTGGAAGCAGATCGACCGTTCCAGTCATGGATCGAGGCTGCAGCGATTGGCGCCATGATCGACTGTACTTGAAGTCGAGGGTGGAGAAGCCATAATACTGCAACTTCTTTTGCTGATGAGGCAAGCTCGTCGAGTCCGTAGACAGTCGTGAGCACGCCAGCAATTGTGTATGTCTTGGACGAGACGGNGGTGGGGTCCGACGATTGGTCTGCTAGGGGGTTGGGAGTTGCCATTCTGTATACTTGTCGACAGGCTGTTCTATGAGGAAGGTGCGACCTGACCAAGTCATGATCAAAGGTCAGGTCTGCTTCTCTGTCGCGCCTGCCGCGGTAGATTCGGGCGGGGATAATTTGGCCTAACACCGTGGCAGCACCCGCGTCACCGGCGCACGGTCGCGTTCGCCGGGAAAGAACGACCTTGAAGCTGAAGCTGTTGTGTCGTCTAATTGCCTGCCGTCATACAATTCCACCCATCATGTCGACTTCCGTCAGGCCACGCCGCCCATAGCAGCAGTCCCGTCCACATTCAGCCGGCGGAAGAAAGTAACGTATACGGGCTACACTTCACATGTCAGCCTATTCAATTCGACCGAGTGTGTTGCAAAGACGTGACGGCAATGACACAAATGCCCTTGTTATCAGCCGGCATCGGCCTGCTGCTGAATTCTGCGGGGTTGGAACGCGATGACTGGTGAATTATTTGAACACCAAAGAGGAGTCTCCTTCTTCACAAGCTGCACCTTCCCTTTCCCGAGGTATCTTTCTTGCTTTCCTTCTTTTCCGTACCAGCGACCATGAGCGCCTCTTTTCGTCCTGCTGCTGCCCGTAGCCTCTTCCAACAATCCTCCAACGCCGCTGTGCGACCTCAATTCATTTCTAGACCCGCTTTTGCTGCAATTGAGCAGAGACGAAGGATGGCTGCATTCAACAAGATCAAGGTTAAGAACCCCGTTGTCGAGCTCGATGGTGACGAGATGACTCGCATCATCTGGCAAGACATCAAGGACAAGTTCATTCACCCTTACCTCGACATCGACCTCAAGTACTACGATCTCGGTCTCCCCTACAGAGATGAGACCAACGACCAGGTCACCATTGACGCCGCTGAGGCCATCAAGAAGTACTCGGTCGGTGTCAAGTGCGCCACCATCACTCCTGACGAGGCTCGTGTCAAGGAGTTCAACCTGAAGAAGAGTGAGTAGCTGTACGAGCGAGCTTGCGAGAATAGCACAAGACTAACAATCTCAGTGTGGTTGTCTCCCAACGGCACCATCAGAAACGCTCTCGGCGGAACCGTCTTCCGTGAGCCCATCGTTATCCCTCGCATCCCTCGTCTCGTACCCGGCTGGAAGAAGCCTATCATCATTGGTCGTCACGCTTTCGGTGACCAGTACCGCGCCAAGGACCTTGTTATTAAGGGCGAGGGCACTCTCAAGATGGTCTTCACGCCCAAGGGTGGTGAGCCCGAGGAGATTGAGGTCTTCAACTTCCAGAAGCACCACGAGGGCGGTGTCGCTCAGACCCAGTACAACACTGCCGAGAGTATCGCTGGTTTCGCACACGCAAGTTTCAAACTCGCCATTGACAAGAAGCTGCCCCTGTACATGAGCACAAAGAACACCATTCTGAAGAAGTACGACGGAAGATTCAAGGACATCTTCCAGGAGATCTACGACAAGGAGTACAAGGCCGACTTTGAGAAGGCTGGCATCTGGTACGAGCACCGTCTGATTGACGACATGGTCGCCCAGATGATCAAGAGCGAGGGTGGCTACATCATGGCCTTGAAGAGTGAGCAACCATGACTCTGATCGTGTCAAGCACAAAACTGACAGCAAGCAGACTACGATGGTGATGTTCAATCCGACATTGTCGCTCAAGGTTTCGGCAGTTTGGGTCTGATGACTTCGGTCCTCATCACCCCTGACGGCAAGACATTCGAGTCCGAGGCCGCCCACGGCACAGTCACCCGTCACTTCCGCGAACACCAGAAGGGTAACGCCACATCAACCAACCCCATTGCTTCCATCTTCGCCTGGACTCGTGGTCTTGCCAAGCGTGGTGAACTCGACGGCACTCCCGAGGTCACCAAATTCGCCGAGTCGCTGGAGGAGGCTTGCATTCACGTCGTCAACGAGCAGGGCATCATGACCAAGGATCTTGCTCTTGCTTGCGGAAAGAAGGGCAAGGACGACTATGTCACCACTGGAGCATACCTCGACGCTGTCGAGAAGCGCATGAAGACTGTCCTTCAGTCCAAGCTGTAGATATGACTTGCATTTTTGCGTTGATGAAAATTTGATAGAGATACCAGGATGTTGAAATGACGTTTGCCATGTACAAGACCATTTTCGTCCCAGACTTTCACACAGACGTGACCAGTATACAGGGCTGTGCGGCGTGTACAGTACCACAAGCGAGCATGCGACTTGGAGTTATTGGACAGTGCCAGCGAGCATGATGCGGGGTACAAATAAGGCAGCATCCATATATAGATGTAACCTATTGTCAGGGCAGCCTCGCCGTCGCATGTGGTGCTTATATACAGCCCTGCGCGACCCTGACTGCATAGAGCAAACTCCTACCATCTGGATACGGACTCTGCAGACATGTCGATTCGAACACCTACAACCCTTTTCGAATCTGTTCGCCAGCCATGCCCACAGCTCATCGCAAGTGTTTGTCGATGTCGTGTAGAGACACAGCAAACCCAATTTTCGTCACAGAAATCTCAGGAAGCGACAATTATTTGCGGAGCCTGCAAGCAAAAGCAAACCACAAAGCAGGGTCATGCGACGGAGTAGCAGCGGTGTGGATACAGGCTCTTCCACACGAGGGACGAGTACTTTTGCTTCAGACCTTTTCAACCAAGCTCTGTTCTTTTCAGATTCCTCTCTGAGTCGGAAAGGATGTATTTGAGTATTTCTTTTCGTTCTCGTCTTTCAGCCTCTATCTTTCTTGAACCGTTTTGGTAGTCGGACTCGCAGCTTTGACCACGCAGCTTCAATTTTGACTGAAAGGTGAGTGACGTCGTCGGTCGGGTTTGCAGCTTCCCCAGAAATTGAAGAGTTGCCATTTGAGGTGGAGCGTTGACTGTGGTCACGTCAAGGCTTCCTGCTCTGAAAGCGCTGAGCTGAGAGATCTACGTATATAGGTGGGTACTGGCCTAGTCAGAGGCGTTTTTCCACACGCATTCACTTCCCTACTCATCATCTTACTCATACCTCTCAATTCCTCTCAGCACCGTCCCTTTACTAGATTCGAGACTCGGCTGAGCTGATTCACCGTAATTGACTCCAACAGTCACAGCCTTATCATCCCGCATCTGCCCCTCGACACTGCATATTTGTACCACCTATCTCTCCTCTACAATAACACGACCGCACACGATCACCCCTCAGACCTAGACTCATGAGCTTGACACCAGCCCACGGCGGCGACAAGACGCCAGCTGCTGGCGACAGCAACGGCAATGCTGACGCCTCCATCAGACAGCGTGTTGGCTCGCTTGCCGCCGTCAATGCCGACTCTCTGAGCCAACATAGCTTGAAGGCTCCTACAGTCAAGCCCGCCGCTGCTGGTACCTCATCGCAGCAGCTCCCCATCCATCCTCGCAGATCGTCGGGCGCCGCTCCAGATCTCGACCCTTATTCGGCTTCGCACATCTACTACGGCGCCTCGCACAACAAGAGAAATGTTGCCAAAGCTCGCACTTACTCGGCTGTACGTCCACGACATGGCCATGTGTTGATTTTCTTGACACTGACTGCTTGCAGNGTTGACCCCGGAGCTCGCGCCAACATTGCCCAACAAATGGAGAACGCAACCCAGCGCCGTTTGAGTCATGGTGAGTAGAATGAGGCAGTACCGCCAGACACAGCTCAAGACTGACTGTGACGTCCAGACGAACAAGGAGACCAACCACGCCGTTATCTCATCAATGTCGCCGACACGCTCGAAGCTCTATTGCACCGCGAAGACTCGGACAACAACCAGCAAATCACCGTCGAGGATGTCGGTCCCAAGACGATCCAATTGGGCACTGCTGGTTCAGGAGGTTACAGGACTTTTGACATTCGTGGCACATACATGCTTTCCAACCTGCTACAGGAACTCACCCTGGCCAAGGAGCACGGTCGTAAGCAGATTGTCCTGGACGAGGCCCGCCTCAGTGAGAACCCCGTCAGCCGTCTATGTCGTCTCGTCAAGGACTTCTTCTGGCCCAACTTGACTCGCCGTATTGATGGCTCCAACATTGCTCAAGTCGGAAAGGACGCCAAAGACTGGACTGACAACCCTCGGCCTCGCATTTACGTCCCTCGTGGCGCCCCCGAACAGCACCAATACTACAGCCGTATCGCCCGCGAACACCCTGATATGAACTTGGATGTCGTGTGGCTTGCACAACACCCCGACAATGAAGAGTATGTCCGTGACCTGAAGCGAAGATCTCCCTGGGTCTCTGCTGATCTACGGCAAGATCTCAAGAACATTTTAAATCACTCAACAGCATGCCGTACTCAGCCTCCTTTCCTGACAGACATGGCTTTGCGTGTCTTTGACCGCATCAAGGATCAGCCTGACGCACGTGAGTTCCTGAAGATCTCCATTCTTGCTGCCATCAAGGAGTACCACAGTGTCTGGACTGCTCCTCCTCGCTACGACCCCAAGACTGGTCTCTCATGTTACAGACCTGGCGGTATCGGTGTTCCACCAGAGACTGAAGCCACTCACTTTGTTCACGTGCTCGAGCCTTACTGCAAGAAGCACAACATGGAGTTTAAGGAGTTTGTTCACGCCTACAACTATGGCCACATCTACGAGCCCGAGCTCGATCAATACTTCCTCCACGACCGCGCCGTTCGTGAGTCTGGTCACGACACTTCTTACCGTCTCGAGGGTTCTGCCGCTCACCTCGCCACTGTCGATCTCAACTCGCTTCTCTACAAGTACGAGACCGATATTGCTCGCACCATTCGCAACTACTTCGGTGACAGCCTCGCTGTCCCTGCCGAGTTCTGTGTTGGTGACCAGAAGCCTGGCCACGTCGAAACATCAGCCACCTGGGACCGCCGTGCCAAGCGTCGCAAGCAGACCATGGACAAGCTCATGTGGGATGAGGAGAAGGGCATGTTCTTTGACTACAACATTGTCAAGAATGAGCACACCGGATATGAGTCTGCCACAACCTTCTGGGCAATGTGGGCTGGAGCTTGTACTCCTCGTCAAGCCGGCATTCTTGTTGAGAAGGCTCTTCCTCTNTTCGAGGAGCTTGGCGGTCTTGCTGCAGGAACTGAAAGATCTCGTGGTCAGGTTGGTCTCAGCCGCCCCAACCGTCAATGGGACTACCCCTTCGGATGGGCACCTCAGCAGATTCTCGCCTGGACTGGTCTGGTGAGATTTGGTTTCGAGGATGAGGCCAAGAGATTGGCTTACCGCTGGGTGTACATGGTCACCAAGGCTTTTGTTGACTTCAATGGTGTTGTCGTCGAAAAGTATGATGTCTGTCACCCTCAGCATCCTCACAAGGTTGCTGCCGAGTACGGTAACCAGGGCAGTGACTTCAAGGGTGTTGCCAAGGAANNGGGTAAGTCAAACATGCAACTCTGAATATCAAGCAATTTACTAACATCCTGCAGATTTGGCTGGGTCAACGCCAGTTATGTTTACGGTGTCGCTCTTCTTGACGCCCACATGCGCCGTGCTGTCGGTGCCTTGACTCCTTGGGAGACCTACCAGAAGGCTACATCGCTCCATTGATCATCCTGAGGATAGTCGATGCGACAATCACGAACGCCAGACCAGCCACGATTGATGAAATGAGATGTAGTCATATGCAAAACGAAAGAGGGGTTACGCCGCAGAAGAGTCGAAGGGAGAGAGCATGCATAGGCATTCAATTTGAGTAGCGACCCTAGAGACTTATACATACGAGAGCGAAACCTGCAAAGGAGATTTTTCAGAAATGAAAAGGCAGAGTATGCATACGCGGCATCCAAGGAGAGTTTGCCTACGTTCAATACCTAGGACATGAGTTTGAATGAGAATTATTCATACCTGATTCCGTTGCTTCACAATATTTGTGAAGATCATACTGCGCATGAGTGTCTTGTTTGCATTTCCAAATAATGCTTTGCGGCATGCTATTGTGGTGAGAATGAATGCCACTCGAACTATCTCAGTCCGACGCCCACCAAACTTTTCACTCAATCAATACCAACCAGACTCTTTGACTCTACCGGATAAAGCTCACGCCTTTTGAGTTCTTGGTAGCATAAAAACTTGACACTGTGCCATCTAAACCAATAAACCAATCGCATTGATGCATATATGTCGCCGAGTATGATTATCAGCATTGTCCGCAGGAACACCCTGGCTGTATCAGACCCTGACATTAGAGCACTTGCCGTCATAGCCGTGACTTCGGGGAGCAGTGCGGAATTCTTGCCGCTGTATGATATCTTCCAATCTGGACTTTTCCGAACATTTGATAGAGCGTTACGACAGCGTCGATCTCGTGAAGTTCAAGTCAATCCTGAGTCTCATTGTTATATCACAAGTATGGTCTGCAAATGGATTAATAATCAATATAGGAGATGGTGCAGAAAGTTGTACTTGTCATTCGTAAGGAGCGCATATAAACGGCAAAGCAAGCAAAAGCGGATGCGGGGCCGTGTTCTCTAGCCGCATTTTCTCGGGCAACTTCCAACCTGCGTGGAAAGGTGGATCTCTGAGGCTCGTTTTCCGAATCGTCAAGTGTTTGAGATTTCTTTTGACTCATTCTTTTTCTTCCTATCTGTACTTCCTCATTCTTTTGTCTTTTCGCATACTTGCAAGGGTGTTTCTGTTTTGCTTTGACCTGCTAGTTTTGCTGGATTCGTGAAGGATTTGAGAGAGAGACTTGGAAATTGAGAACGGACGCGGACCACCGATATCGCGATACAAGAAACCCGGACTTGGTTCCACGACACTTGCGAAGATTGAAGGAGTGAGGAGGGGCGGAAACACCGAATTGACTGGACTGGAGATATCACGGGATTGAGGACTGGATATCGGTGTTGATTGCGATCAAAGGATCATTGCGCCAATAGGAGTGGGAAAGAGCGAGGGACGAGAAAGAGGCTTCGAACTGAGGAAAGAAAGTCGCAAAGAGATTGCAACACGAGGGAAGAGAAAGGCAGAAGACTCCGACTCGAGAAGAGAAACTCAGAAAGAGAAAGGATTAAAACACACACACAACCACAACGAACGCCCATCACGATGGTCGAAGAACAAGAAAAACCCTCGCCTCAGGCTTCAACACCATCTACCCACTCCCACACCTCCGACACCGACTCAATCCACGAAACCCAATCTATCCGCCACGAAAACCAAGCCAACCGTCTCCACCTCGTGCGCAGCTATGCATCCGGCTACTCAGGCTTCGCCCCCGAAACCGAATACGCAGACATAAACCTCAAACCCACCGCCACAGGAGCAACCCTAGGTTCTGTCGCCACCGCCAACGACCCAAACTTTGAAGTCGACTGGTCAGAAGACGATCCAGAGAACCCAAGGAATTGGAGTATGGCATACAAGAGTTTGGTGGTGTTTGCAATGAGTTACGCGACCACTGTCACGGTTTTGTTTTCTACGTCCTACACTGTTACGGTGGGGAAATTGGAACAGGTGTTTGATGTAGATCATTTGGTTGCTCTTTTGGGACTTACCACCTATCTGATTGGTATGGCTGCTGGAAGTACTGTTCTGGCGCCTCTGTCGGAAATGTATGGACGACGCCCTGTGTACATTTTCTCGACTGCGATTTTCGTGTTGCTGATTTTGCCGTGCGCGTTGGCGAGGAATATTGAGGCCTTGTTGATACCCAGATTCTTTGCTGCGTTTGCGGCGGCGAGTTTAGTGAGCAATGCGCCTGGATCTATTAATGATATTGTGGTGGAAGAGTACAGGGCTCTTGCGTTTAGTATCTGGAGTATCGGACCTTTGAATGGACCAGTGGTGGGCCCCATCATTGGAGGCTTTACATACCAATACTTGGGATGGCGATGGTGAGTTTTGCCCGTCTCACTCTTTCAATGCGTTCATAACCCCCAGCAACATACTGACAAAGCGTGTTCTACAGGNACCAACTGGCTGGTCATGATTCTCGCTGGTGTGGCATTTGGGTTTGTGGCTATTGTCAAGGAGACTTATGGACCCACTTTACTGCGCAAGAGAGCTGCAAAGCTAAGAAAAGAGACGGGAGATCCGAGGTGGTGGAGTCGATTCGACGAGAAACAGGCGTTCTTGCCTTTGCTCAAAGTTAATTTGAGCAGGCCGTTTGTTTTGATGGTTACGGAACCGATTTGGTAAGTCTTTTCTATTCCTGTCGCGAGATGGCGCTCTGGATGTCTTCTTCCAGTTGGAACATGCCTTGAGAGCATCAAGAAATGACAGCATCAAGTCAATGTGGCTGGACAATTGCTAATCTTGTGTCTTACNAGTATCTTTTGGGATGTTTACGTAGCAATCGTCTACGGCACCCTCTACCTCTCCTTCGTCGCCTACCCAATCGTCTTCCAACAACAACGCGGCTGGTCTCCCGGCCTCGGCGGCCTCGCCTTCTGCGGCATCGGTATCGGAAACCTTCTCACCATCGTCCTTGAACCGCTGTGCCGCCGCCTCATCAACTCGCACAAAAAAGACCCAGAGACTGGAACCATCCCCCCTNNGGAAGCCATGGTGTCTGTGATCTGTATCGCAGCAGTGAGCTTAGCAGCAGGCGAGCTCTGGTTCGCATGGACCTGCACACCCAATGTCCACTGGATCGTGCCCATCCTTGCGGGAATCCCCTTTGGAGCCGGAAACGCCGGTGTTTTTATCTACAGCAACAATTACCTGGTGCATTCGTATTCAGTCTATGCAGCTTCTGCACTAGCTGGAAACGCAGTCCTGCGCTCTATCGTGGGCGCCACGGTACCTCTAGCTGGCTCTGCCATGTACGCCTCTCTAGGCTCCAATTGGGCTGGCTGCACTCTGGGACTCATTGAAATGGCCTGTGTACCCATCCCCGTAGTGTTTTATCTCTACGGCAAGAAAATCAGAGCCAAGAGTGCTTTGATCAAATCCATGCAAGAAGACAAACGCCGCGCAGACGAGAAAAAGGAAAAGCATTTAAGGAGAATGGAGAAAGAAGCGATCAAAAGAGGTGATGCGGAAGCTAGTGTTGCCGGACCGGCCAAAACCGGGGCTGCGGTTGCTGAGGAGAGGGATATAGAGAAAGGAGCTTGATAGACAGAAGTGACACCAATGTAGAGGAAAGCAATGCAGAGATTGAGCATCTGAACAAAGCAATACACATTTATGTTCTTGCGCAAAGACGAATTTCGGAGACAGAACCTTGGATTCAGGGTTTGAGCTGCTCCTTTTGCCTCTATTGACCTTGTAACAGCCAAGTCTCAGAAAAAGCCACCGCAAAGATGCAATGCAAGCTGCGCGTGAAGCGTATGCGCAATATCGCTCATTCAGATACTCTTGCTCTGGATCCTAGAATGGCTCTTGCCTAAACACAACTGGAGATCAACCGCTGGCCAAAGTTGTCATTTACCTCGCTGCTAAAGCGAAGCAGTTCCTGCAACACAAGATGGTGGATTTCGGGTCTTGAAACTGCATTTGAAGCGTGAGCTATTGAGGAAAGACGCGGAGCAATTTTCGTGTGATTGTTGCTTTGAGCTTTATGCTCGTTGATCCTGCTTGCCGGACGTTGACCACGGACATAACCTGGGATCTTATTGCAGATTCCCTATGGAGATCGAGGGTCTAATTACACAAGGCTTGACGTAGCCCTTGACATAATTCTCAGATGACATCGTGCCAATAGGAATTGAAGAGGGTTGATGTTTTTTCAACGGCTTGAATACGGACCCAATGTTGACTTTCCAAGTGTATTGGCCTCGAAAGCTGAGCGAAGCTGATTGTTCAAGCTCAAGACTCCTTGACGTGAGCCGGCAGGCATGCTGATCATCTCAGAAGCATAAGTCCTGGAAAGAGCCTGAACAGACTTAGATGAGGCAAGGGTCGTGACGGGAACGAACAGCGTGTTGCCTTCGGCACGTGCAAACGCTACAAGCCGGCTGTTGTTGAGCATGGCATCGCATAAGGTAATTAGGGGTTTAACGGATCAGCAAGACTATCCCCACGTTTGAGCGCCAAAGCTTCTTGCTTGTTACGACCTGCTCGAGCGGACATGTAGTCTCTCCTGTTATTCAGAACCCAGATATGATTCAGTCCCTCACGCGAGCTGAAAACTGCCTTTCCTACTTTTCTACACCAGTCCAGCTCCTTTGTTTGACCACGAGCTAGGTAGAACGCGGTCGAGATTCTGAGTGGCACCATCATAGCCACACGACTCATGGCTCCAAAGTGTCGAGCAAAGAGCTGTGGTATGACCATGGAAAGATTGGTGACCACGTGAAATATTTTGAGCCCGATATCTGATGCTTCGTGTTTGTACGAGACCTCTTTCCTTTCCGTCAGGATAACAAGAATGGCTTTCAAAATGGTAACGTAGAAAGTCCATCCCAGAGTCATACGCCAAGCAGTCCTGAAAGAGGCAAATCTGAAAACCGGCAGGAAGGTTGAGTCACCGTTCATTTCCTCATTATATGCCTCCATTTCCTTGATATCGATAGTGGTGCTTATTTCGTGTTCCATTGATGAGGAGAATTCGTTGAGCCAGGTCGTTACCGCTTGGCAGGCAGAGTCCAGCTTTTGAAGCAGTTCGTGGACGATATGCTCAGGAGCATTGTTTATGCGGACTTTGTCTGTTCTGGCAAGCAAAGCAGGTATCGTTGATCCGATGTCCAAGAGACGGGTTTCATGGTCGGCTGCAGGCGCAGATTGAGACACGGCAAGCCACTGGGATGAACCGANAAAGGTATGCTCTCTACGCATTATACCTCCAATGATAGCATACCGACGAACATGGCTGAAAAGTGCTGTGTCATACACAGACTTCAGAAGCCTGGGTCCTTCATACTGAAATACTTTGGCAGCTCCGTCTACATGGGTTAGCCAACCGCCCGCCTGCGATATCGGCGAGAATGNGCTGTAACGAGTCAGTGTCTTCTGATTCTCCTATGCCTTGGTGATGGGATATACCTCAGTGATCTGGAGAATTAAGATGGCTAGGAGGACTTCGTTGCGATCATAGTCGGATATTTGTGCGATCGATTCTCTCAACAACGCGACTGCGATGATGTATCTTTTGATTGCTTGCTGAGCGAGGCTATCGTCCTGTAATTTGACAGCAGCATGAGTAAGGCTGAGTGTGTCAACCGCTGCAGCGAGTGCGGGCACACGAGGGTTGAACAGAGCACTGTTGTGAGGACTCAGAAATGACATTCTCAGCCAGTCCTCAGAATTGTTGGATCGGAATGACAATTCGTCGAGTGGCAGGTAATGTGACAAGGCAGCGACCAGCGCTTGGTTGCGGTCGAAGTTAGGAGTGTCGACTGAGGGTCGCATCCGAAAACCTCTGCCGTAAATCAGCTCTAATGGAAATGGTAGAGTATTACTGCTCGGTGTCGACATGCTGGAAGGAGACAGAGAGATAGAAGGCAGAATGTCCCATTCGGCCAAACTCTCACTATCAGCATCTCCGAAACTGTCGCTTATATGTTCACCTTCGGAAGACATGGTGATGATGTTTGACATGTCAATCGAAAGCCCGTTCGCGTCCTTAGGTATCGGCTCGACCACAGTATATGCTTTCGCGACTGTATTGCTTTGGTCACAGAATATCCAGGAACGAGACCAAACACAGTATCGGTTTATTCGGACACAGGCGCGACATTGTGGATGCTCTTCGTCACACTTGACTTTTCGTGATCGGCATGTCTGGCATCCTTGTCGAGATCTCGGCTGTTTTCTGTGCGAAAGAGCGCGCGATCGGTTCTCATCGTGTTCTGCCATATCGTACCAAGGAAATGAATCCACCGCCATCGCCGTCGTCGAAGAAGCAGCGATGATCAAATTTGAGGTGTTGAGGATGGTGGTTAGATATGAGGTTACCCCAGCCATGGCCAAGTGAACATGGTTCCGCGGCACTCGGTCTAGCTCAACGGTTTTGCCCCCAGACTCCAGCCTTTTGTTTCACCATGTGAGTTCCAAATCTAGAAAATGCCCAGCTTCCAAGATGTACTCAATTAGATGGCGAGAAACTGTCAATGCTTTCCAAAGCATAGAAACATGCATGGACCTAACTTACTTGTGCAAGACAGACTCGTAGCAAGCTGCTCAAGGAGCAAAGTTCTACTATGTGCACGTGCGTACCTATTTGCAAAGTCTTTTAAGGTTTGCATACCGTATTTGGTATTTTATCGCGTTGAAGGTTGGGCCAATTCTTATTTCTACTTCGGTGGTGCCTCCGGCGTTCTGCAATTCTATTAAAGCTCGACGGAAAAGCCAACCGTTAACAATCGGATGCGCTATCACTCTGGTACGATCTAATAAATCAATCTGGAAGCCACTTGTCCTCGGACTCCGCCGGTCTCGACTTCAATCAATCCCTGGAGACACAGGTCTGGAGGAACACGATCAGGCGCTCACTTATGTGTCTTTTGACAGCGTCATCCCTGGATATTTTGCTTTGCTCGGTTTGCTTGCACCTATCTTGATGCAGCTGGTGCGGAAGTGGTATCAAGATGCAACTGGGGAGGACTTGCAAGCATGGCAGGCCACTTTCTTTCGTTCGAATATGTTGACAGAACGTTGATATGTTGGTAGAGGTTTCGTGGACTACATCTGATCCTTTGTATCGATGCACCTCCAGTCACTCTCTGCTTTGTATGCAATCAATGTGTTGTTCATCTTCCACTGCATCGTCAGGACGGAAAGAGCAATTCTCCAACTTCCCCCTGTATCCGTCTTCGTATTGGTCTATCTGCTTCATGTGGCTGGCCGCTGACACACTTGAACAGGCACTCTCTTTGCTCGAGTCTGTTGAAATAGAAGGTTTCGTGACTGAGTCAATCACATGCACCAGTCCTCCTCGACATGAGTGCGCGGCTTTCTGGGACGGTGATGCCTTAGGTAAGTGGAGCGGACCTGGAGCTGAGAAAGGCGAGCGGCGGTGTGCTCGTTCTCGCTGTCGACAATCACAACAGTCGGGTATCTGGGATTGGAGATGAGAGGTGGGAGCTCGATGTGTGTGACCTGGGTGGTTGATGTGTCTCGAATGCGGCTACTGGCTCTAGGAACCTGATGCAGGATCCACCATGCCATGTTATGGTGACTGATAATCTCCGAGTCGATAGAGATGTTGAACACTTTGGGAGTTGAAGCACGTGTTTCCTGGAAGATATACTTGCACTTTTCCGTGGTGTTGGGACCACCACGAAAGTTCCAGCGTGGATATGTTTCTTGGCACCTGTCGTCAATCGAAATCTTGCCGTTCTGAGCTTCTCGAGGAATGTGATCGTCGAAGTTCTCCAGAATAATTGCGTGGCGGTTGCTGATAGCAGACCAGTATGCTTGGCCAAGTTCTTGGATGTCGGAGGCCCAGAGTTTTGTCAGCCCTATCTCCGTAGTTCCCTGACCAATGCGGCCACCTCCTTNCGCTGTTCGGGAGTTAGAACAAAGATATTCTGCCTGGGAAGCGCGGTATATGGCTTACAAGCCCAGGCCCGAAAAACAGTACCTGTGGCTGATCTGCCTGAGGCGCCCGTCTTGAGCCTCTAGCTCCGCGATACGCCTCTTGATAAGCTCTGCGGTAACGCGAACGGTCAGATCGCTGTCACCTGCCCCGTTGTGCCTCATAGAGCCGATTTTATACTCGCGCTCCGTGTCGGTCATCTTGTCGAGATCATCTTGAGTCGTCATCTCAACGCCCATCATCTCGGCAGCCTCGCATAAGTCTGAAAGCAGGAATATGATCAGTTTAATACACAGGAGTTGGAAGAGAGTGTTCAACTTACTGTGCTTCTCTTTGCCGTTGCGGCCCTTGGGGAAGCGAACCTGGAACCACTCTTGGGGATCTAGGACGTGTGCGTACANGACGATTTCTGCGACAGGTCAGTATTCAATAGCAAGGCAGGTATGCTTATCTTACCAGTCAAACTTCATCTCCTGGAGCTTCGCCTCATCTCCACGTTCAAGGGTGCCACGATCCCAATATATCAGGACGTTCTTGATTTCTGATGATGGATAGGGGTGCTCTGCATCCTCCTGTGTGATGATTTCAATAAACTCGTCCAGGGAGAGGTTGTCTGGTCTAGGCGCATCGTCGCCCTAAGGGAGTAGGTGGCGTTGGCTGGGACGACTGGGCTTGGGTCTTCTGGAAGGCATATTGGGTAACACTTTGAGAGCCAGAAGCTATTGGACGAGGATTGTGTGTGTTGTGGCGAGAAAATGAGAGATGGGAGGATGGAAGGGTGAAGAAGATCCGCCTTACACGTCAAAACAATAACAAGGGGCGGGAACACGTCGACCGCACCACCACCGGCACGCCGCGCGATTGGTCAGTGCTCATCCCGGACCAGCGACGACGAGGTCATCTTCACTTGCTGTCAGTTCTCACTCAACAGACAGTCTTCTTGATCGCCTTCCATCCTACATCACCATCATCACCGCCGCAATGCCTGAGTGCCTCATCTCAGGAGGCCTATACCTGACCCCTTTCATGACCCGCTTGTATGTTCTTTGATCAGATTATACCGCCCTTCCAACTCTGACAATGGGCTTGTTACGCTTTGACAGTCTGCACAATGCAACAAAGAAGGTACTATATCCCGACGTCGTAGCCGCCATACTGCAAAATCAATTCTGCATTGCTACAAAAGCACTTGGCATGCTCATCCGTTTCGAAGAACCAACTCAGTTTGCAATGCCTTCGGACGTCCCCAACAAAGGCTCTCACAGCGATGAAGAGTGGGTTTCGGTTGAGACTGGCGGTCTGGATGACTCTTGGGTTGAGGTCAACAAGGATGTTCCTAACGACACTGGTCGTGGATCGTCCGACATTCCCGGTGGCATTTCCAGACCCTGTATCGCCAGAATCGTTCTCCGCATCGTGAAGGAGTCGTATGATGAGGAAGATAAGGAGGAGTTCAACTGGAGAATGGAGAACACCAAGAAGTAGGTTTCTGTAGGCGTGGTTCACCTACAAGGCTCAGAAAGGTACCTTTGCTGATCCTTCTTTGCCTAGCCTCTCTTCGTGCCTTCTCGGTGATCTTTAGGTTTTTGACTTGTCCATTTCTGTATTACTATATATCCTTTTCTTCTCTGAGGAAACAGCGGCTTTTTAGCCTGATGTAGGTAGTGTTACCGCTGTTTACGATGATGGTTGAGAGGGATTTCTAGGCGTACGGTGTACTTGGGATGTGTTTTCATGTCGGAACCTCATCAGGATCGGACATACTTTTTAGCATCCAGCTCTCGCGATCAAAAGCGATTAGGAGCACGGTATATGGATTTGTCTTTTTTCGTGCTGCAATAGCAATGAAAATCATTTTTAACACCCAAATATTTCTCTACGGTGCAACATGAAGTCGTGACAGCTGTCGTATATACTTTGAGGTGCGAATAGCAAGTGAAGGAAGAATGAACAACAATTTCTGAAATCGAATATGAAGTTGGAAAGCTGCAAGGCAGACAACAAAGAACCCATGCTGTCCCTGTCAAAGATCCGAGTATTTGTGCAGATGCATCGTGCGTCAAAGAATGACTCATGCTCGCTTCAATTCTTTGTTAGCTTCCTCTTGCGCGTTAGATCTTTTGCGGAACCACGCGATAATGGCCAGACTGCTAGCCGTCGGTGATGCAAGAGGTATTGGCAATCTTCACCTCATGAACTATGCGAGCAGATCCTGATCGTCAACTGTGCCAGCCGCGATAATCCTTTCAGCTCGAAGGGACCGGTCTCCAGTATCTCGGTGCTGAGAACTGGTGAGTGCGAGACTTGATCTGCTCTCCATGAGCCGAGTGGGACTATCTGTATACCCTCCTACGACAATGACTACAGCTCTATCAAAGGCCATGATTGCTATTGCTATTTGCTAGATGCTTCCAGCCAATAGACAAAGGCTTTCCGATAGGCGTCACTTTGTTAGCGATCCATGCATTCTCTGAGATCTAGGTATACATGTAAGGCATAGCTCTTATCCTTGTAAGATCTACCTTTGACTTATGGTGATAGATCATGCCTTTGATATGGCCTCAGTATTGACTGATATATATCTCTTCCATCTGGACTGCTATGTAGCGTGTCTGTCAGGTCAAAGAATGTTTTCTAAGTAGCTTACTGCAATCTCGGACGCATCCTGTCCCGTCAGCTGAACGTCTGCACCTTGATATTTGAATGTCTACTTTTTCTTACGGTCCCTCGAAACTCTTCTTTGAAGAGATCTGATAACTTAATCGAGGATGTCGTTTGCTGATCTGACTCAAGACACGAACTGTTTATGACGGTACTGATGACGATGAAGCGATGTTTGTATTCCAAAAGCGAGTGCAAGTCAAGGTAATTGCAAGATGTGTGATTGCACTATGAAGAGGCAGTCACCAATCCTTGATTTGATTGGATTTGATTTGTTAGTATCGCAGATCTATATGGTAACCAAGCCAATCAATCCTCTGTAAGTTCATCTTTATCGATGTATGAGTCCGATCAGTAGTCATCTGGAAGTACTGCTTCATCTTCCCATGTGTACCCAGAACTCATACATGTCTTCGTTATAACGATCAGCTTTGCGCTACAATCATGACGATCAAGTGCTGTGTTCACAGTAACAAGCAAATCGATGCTGATCTGCTTCTGTGTAGGGATCATTGCACAATTCTCTCCCTCCTCGACTTTATGCCACCTGCCTGAGTGGTGAAGGCGGTTCGCGTGGAATGTCCAGGTTGCAGTGTTTATTGATGTAGTCGATGCGGTCCGAGTCATGGATAGCGTCAAACGCGGAATACTGTGATGCCTGCCTCATTTGATAGGACATAGTGTTGCAGTACGAACACAGCTCGTCCTTCGTCCCGCCGTTAGCCAAGGCAAAAGCCCTCGAATAGCTGAGAAAGAACTCACATGAGGCATGTCATAAACATCCGCAACTTTGGTAAATCCATCGATGATTTCTGTCTCTTGTGATCAGTGGCTGTATAGAAATTCGGAATTTTGAGGCAGCATACCGTTGCAGTACCGACCACTTTGCGGTTCGAGGTAACAAGTCTCGTTATATGCTTCCCATATATATCCTCCGAGCATCGTCGCTGGCGCACCACTTATATTGTAACCGTGACAATCATTTTTGACGATATCGAAGTAAGCCTCTAACGACCAGCGACAAAAGCCATCGCATACTTCGTCATACAACTCTTTGTCTTCGATTGAGCCTCTCCGAGCAGGCCCAACATATCCTGCAAGAGTATCTTCGCATTGGATCTTCTGTACGAGTGCGACCTGGCAGTAGTGCGGGAGGCCTAATCCATCGAGCGACGACGAGTCATAGATCGTGAAGCCTGGGAATATTATTTGATCGGAGATATTACTGACTTTGGGAAACACAGTCTTGCCGAGTTGAGACGGATGATGCTTGTGTATCGGAAAGTGGATGGCGAGTTCGTAGCTTCCTACTATGATGAGAGGAATCACTAGGAGGGGTATCCAACCCCAGCGAAGAGCGAGAGTCTTGGTTGGCAACATGAAAGCTATGAGTGAATTGACATACGATTGCGGTCTTCGCAAGGATGACTCTACCTTAAGAACAATGGCTTGTTGCTCACTCACCTCGGCATCACTCCCGGTCAATCAGAACATGGTGCGTGCCAGTCGGGTACAGAAGCCATACTTACTCGATAGCGGTTTTAGGCAGCGCTTCCAGACGGGTCTAAATCGCTACACATGATCCTACCTAAGCGATGGTAATATATACTGGTTCGTGTCTGCACCATCAGTTGTCTAAGTGCTGCCAAGATACTTGGCGCGAGATTTTCGGTCTGTGGTGTCCGAGCTTTGCAACCTCACTTCATGCTGCATTTCCCTTCCAGGAAGAACAAGTATATAGGAAAGTCGGAAAGTCTGCTGCGAGCGTACCAGATCAAGCTGTGACGGATTGGAACTCATGATCATGACGCCAGCGAGTTCCTAACTGAGCTCATCTGTCCGGCATCCGTGAACGGTTCTGATCTCGGCCGTATAGCTTATAGGCAATTTCCACCAGATCTGTCTTGAGTTCTGTCACGAACTGAGCGAGTCGAGTCTGACTCACAACACGCTTGGCCTATCAGTCTAGCCAAAGAGTACCTTCCTATTCTGCTAGTTCGCGTCTTACAGTACCACTAAAACCATATCACTACATGCAGCATCTCTTGTAGTACTGCTCCTATGCACATTAATCCTCTCAATGGCCGCCAACGCATAAGCACAACTCAAACGACCATCATGCACAAAACAAGGAGGTCTGTCTCGCGTCGTCGGCTACTACGAAACCTGGGACTCCTATTTCTGGCAACGTCGCTGTAATAGGTTTTTGCAGCTCTGTAACCCTGTATTGCGCTGCGCTGACATCAGACATACCATGCTCTGGGAATGGAAGTCAATCGCTCGCTTGTGACTTATGTGCAATAGCTAAATTCCATAAGCCGTCTCAACTGCTTCAGAACTCGCTCCCCAACCCAGACTCGTGTCAGATTCGTCTTCTTCCAGATACGTCTCTTCATCTGATACCGTTTCACTTTCGAACCAGTCTGATTCCCGCAGACAGAGACCCCTCATACTTCCAAGCTTCAAGGCCTTCCGGTACACATGATACAAATAAACCAAAGGCACTTTCATCCAACCCGGATAATCCTCATTCTCGTGTGGACAGTCTCTGTCTATGGCCTTAAGGTAAGGCTCCTCGTCTCGAACTGAATAATCCCACTCTAGCTTCTGCGGACGTATGTTATCCAGAACTTCCTTGTCGACAACCATGAACATATAAGATTCCGGCCATTCCAGCTGTCCTCCAAAGGTTTGGGAGGCCACCCATTCTCGGAAGTGTTGACGGAGTTGTGCAAGGGTGGCGTTGTCGAATTGAGATTTGTCGTTTTGCCAGTACATATGCTTCCAAGACTTTGCGTCGCGGCCGTCTTCGAAATTTGACGACGGAAGACCGTGGTTGGAGAAAGCTTCATACATGGTAAGAAACTTGTTCCAGTCTGCTTCAGAGGAGTAGTCTGTGCGATAGATGACAAAGCCCCAACGCTTTTTGAGACGCAGAGTTAACCAGAAGTCACTCATCGTATGCCAAGCTGTGAGATAACTTTGTTTTATGTGCTTAGATGGCTCCAAAGGCGGAGGTCAGATTGGAGAGACTCGCGAATTCGATGCAAATGGATGCTAAGAAAGAGTTGTGGTAAGAAAGATGGCGTTCGGCATTAGAAAACCAGATGAAATTGCTGCCAAGGAACCAGGGTGATTATTAGGGGCCACACGGACTTCTTCCACCAGAGTTACGATGCAGCCATGTTTTGCTTGCATTCCAGGTTGCAGATGTAAATCAACTTGAGAGTCAGATGCCTAACTCAAGCTGGACCCGGACTCATTATCTCCTTCCAAACACGTATCTTGCTCCGATATACGACCCTCATACAGCGTAGCCACGGACAAGAGACAAGTTGTATGTAGTAAACAAAACTACGGTGTCTTCCCGTAGTCTTCAGATCCAGATGCCCAACTAAAACTCGATTGTGACCCATCATCCACCTCTAGAAATGTCTCCTCCTCTGGTATACGACCTTCATACCAATCAGTACGTCGAGATCGGAGTCCTCTCATGTTTTGATAATCCAACCCTAGATAGTATACATCAAAGAGAGACACCAACAACACCTTCATCCAACCAGGATACTCTTCGCCCTCGTTGGGTCTATCCTTGTCTATCGCTTTGACATAAGGTTTCTGCTCGGTAGGCAAAAGCTCAGGTTTCATTGCACGTATCTTGTCAAGAACTTCTTTGTCAACAACGATAAACATGTAGCTCTCAGGCCACATTAACGAGCTTGCAAGGTCTTTTGAGAGGCCACCCAAACTTTAAAGTGCTGTCGTAGTTGTGTAATGGAAGCGCCTTCAAACTGCGATTGGTCGTTCATCCAGTGAGGTAAGTGCCACGATTTGATGAGACGGCCGTCTTCCAGTCCCTTGCCTGGTAGACCATGTTAAGTATACGTCTTCAACATAGTAAGGAATTTTGTCTAATCTACTTTCGATGAGTAATCTACGCGATAAATGGCGAAGCCCTAGCGCCGTTTGTCCTAAAGCATTGTGACAAGATCACACATGATGACTTGAAACTCGAGATGATGTTCTGATTGAGTCTCCAGACGCTTTTTCGCGTGCAGGGGACCGAAACAAGATGTATGTGGTTGCAGAAAAGACCAAAGGAAGGGGTGCGCCGAGCGGTTTGTAACTTGACTCGAGGACAGGACTAAATTGCTGCCAAGCCACTAAGTTGAGAAATTAGGACTTCTCCCAATAGAGTCATTCCTCACCCCTCTCCAAAGGTATCCTCGAAATCAATCTCATCCCTTTCAAACCACTCGCTAGATCTCAGTCGAAGTCCTCGCATGCTCTCCCTCTCAAGACCTTCTTCGTAGAGATACATGAGATCACGCAAATCAACTTTCATCGAAGCCGGATAGTCGCTGTTTTCGTTTGGAGCATCCTTGTCCAATGCTAAGACGTAAGGTATTGTGCCCGAAATATCGCAGGTATACTCTAGAGGTCGAGAGTGAATGATGTCAAGAATATCCTTATCGACTACTAAGAACATGTAATGTTCAGGCCTTGTAATGATTCGTTCCTTAGTACTCAAAGTATCCAGCCAAGTGTTGAAGTGCTGTCTGAGTTGACCATGGGACGCATTCTCGAACTTGCCTTTGTCAGACATCCACCACATCTGCTTCCACGATTCGATAAGAGGAGCTTCTTCGGGTCCTTTGTTCTCGATAACAGGTGAAGTCCAGGTATCGAGCATATTGGTGAATTTGATCCAATTTTCCTCAGAGGAATAGTCGGTACGATAGATTGCGAAGCTCCAGCGTTTGTAAAACTTGACATCCGCGAAGAATAGAGAGCTCATGATGGCGATGTGGTCGAGGCGTTGGACTGATCTTGTTCCAAAGAAAAAACAGTTTCGCTTCAAAGGTATCGTGACACAGCAGCAACGTGATTCGAACCGGAGGAAGCTATGAATGCTTGACGGAGTGAAAAACGGATGCTGGTGGGTGCAAGAACTCCAAATCCGCTTGTAACTCGAGTCAAAGAAGCGAGATTGCAGCCAAGCTTTCAGGATGCCAAGACACTACTGCCTTTAAGCAGGACCTCCTTCTTCCTCTGCATGTTCCTCCTCTTCCTGGTCTCCAAAGTGGTCGTCTTCCATGTGAACAAGGTAGCTGTTGAAATAATCCCTAGACCTGGAGCGAAGCGCTCGCATAGTTTCCGCATCTAAAAATACAGCCATCTCGTAAAGATCACGAAGAACAGGTACTTTGACATTCATCCAACCAGGATAATCGCCGTCATCTGCAGCAGGAGAATTTGAGTCCCAAGCTTTGAGATAAGGGTAGTCGCCTTGATGTTCTGATAAGTCGGTGCTGTGCGGGCGAACACTGTCCAGCACCTCCTTGTCGACGACAAAGAACATAAGTTGTTCAGGCCGGTATCGTCTCCTCTCCTTCTCAGATAGGCTAGCAAGCCATGTGGTTTTGTGGTGTTTTCGAAGCTGCTCGACAGACGCATTTTCGAACTGACTTTTATCATCAAACCACCAGTGCTGTTGCCAGGATTGGATCAGGGTGGCTTCTTCGGAAGTCTTGTATGCGTGCATGTTCCATGTATTGATCATGGTTTTGAGCTTTGTCCAGTCTTGCTCGGAGGAGTAGTCTGTGCGATATATCACAAACCCCCATCGTTGTCTATTTTGGATGTGGGAGTAAAGCAAGGACATGATGTTGAGGTAGAACGAGGTGGTAGGCCAGCGAGAATGGAGAACAAGAGAGAAAGAATGATTTGGTCCGACGAAGCGAGATTGCAGATGGAGCTTTGGTATGCCAAGGCACTAGTCGACCACTCTTCAAAGTGATGAGCGTCAATAGAACATCTCACTCAAAACCACCTTCTTCTTCATCTGCATGTTCCTCCTCTTCCTGATCTCCATAATGGTCATCCTCATACCAAACCAAATCCCTACTCCACCAGTCCGTGGACCTCGAGCGTAGAGCCCGCATCTCCTTGAGATCAATCATCAAAGCCATCTCATACAGATAAAAGACATTGGNGAGGGTAATCTTCATCCAACCAGGGTAATCGCTATTCCCAGATGGTGCATCTCTATCCCAGACCGTGAGATAGGGATACTCACCACGATAACACCTTGGGAGCTCAACCTCGAGAGGACGAACAGATTCTTGCGCCTCTTTGTCTGCGACCAGAAACATGTAATGTTCAGGCCATATATCAGTTCGTTCCTCGGTTGATAGCCCAGCGAACCAGGTATCCTTGAAGTGATCGCGAAGATGGTCGATAGAAGCATTGTCAAATTGATCTTGAGAGTCGAAATACCACATCTNTTGCCAGGAGTGTATTATCGGAGCCAAACGAGGTCCCTTGTTCTTAATGATCCTCATGGTCCAGTTTTCCATTAAGGTCATGAACTTTTGCCAAAGCTCTTCGGATGAGTAATCTGTGCGGTAAACCACGAACCCCCAGCGTTGTTTGATCCTGAGCTCAGAGTAGAAAGCAGACATGATATCGATGCGTGGAAGTCGACCAGAGAGGCAACAAGAATGATGTCCGGATGTTTGTAGTGTACGAGGAAGAGAGAGGACGAATACTGGTTTGACCAAAGGAAATTGCAAATGAAGAGTCAGGCGCCAAGGCACTAGCCAATCACTCCTTCCTTCAAGCATGTGCGGTCAAGACGCTTCAACAAGAGTCTGGGAAGAAAAAGTGAAAAGAAGAGAAGAAAAGACTTTGTACAAAAGAAAAAGACAATGCCATGATGTCGCAATGGAAGAAAATGCCTACCAATCATTCGACCCGCTGCTTCCCCTTATCTTTCGGTGCATCTTCAGCAGCTGTGGTATAATACTCCTCGCTCGACTCAGCCAAATGTCCTTCAATGTTGACCTCCTTTTTGGCTTGTCNCTTGTCTTCTTGACCATCAACAACACTATCTTTGGGTTTCAGTTGGGTATTAACCTCTTTCTTGACCTCTTTCCAGCTCTTGCCCTTCTCCTTCGCCGTGCTTTTATCATCAGCTTCGGGACCTGAAGCGTCCAATCCTCGCCACTTGGCATAACCCCAAACACCAGCGTCTGTGGCAAAGGATGTTGTGCCTGCCCGAGCCATATCGCGGACGTCGCTCCAGTATTCCAGTCGCTTGACTTGTTCGTCTGCTGCAGCGATGGCATTCTCCAGATTTGAGATTTNTTGTTGTTCCTGAGCTGATATTTCTTCGTTGTGAGCTGTGTGTTCATCGCGAAGCTTTTCGGCTGCGGTGAGCTTTTCGGAGAGCATGGTCAGAATATAGCGACGAGAGTTCTGGAAGACACAAAGAGACATGATTGTTTCCATCTGNNCAGAGCTTGTTAGTTGGTGAGAAAAAGTGCAAAGGAGGAAACATGCCTGCTCGCCTAGGTAGTGAAGATCATCCCCGCCATTGTCGATAAAGTGGCGGACCAAAACAATCTTCTCGCGATCGATGGCAGCTCTCTTCAGACTGTTGAGAAGAGAACCTATATCTCGCACGTCCTCGGGATCTTCTAGGTAATGTTCTGCCTTGGCCAGGTTCTGCCGTGCCTCTGTGCTAAAGACAAAACTGCTAGATCTGCTCGGAGCCTTGGGACGGTGAATGGTGAAGTACTCGGAGGTGAAGGCGTGTCCCTGCTGACCAGGCTTCTGTGGTTGTTTCCGTACACGTTTTCGTAACCATCTCCTTCGCCTCACCCAGGAGTAACCCCAAGGATGTGTGCCATGCCAGGCTGTGCCTTCGCTGAACCAGAAAGAGTATTCCCAACCCTCTTCATCCACATCTCGAGACATGTCGACATACCAGGACTTCCAAGCCCATTCCCAACTAGGATCTGGGACTTGGGCGTTTGTGATATTGACCGGGCTCGGCTTCTTATTGCCGTTCAACCACGGCTTGGGATCGAAATTGAGCAGTGTTTTGGAGGAGAAATGTGGGACACCAAAGAACCACCAGCCTCGTTGGTTTTCGTACAGGACATCAATTACAGCGTCTTCTTCCAGAGCAAGCTTCATTTGTTTCCTGGCACCCAGTAGACCTCGTACTTTATTCTTTCCTCGAGCGACCTTGCCAGGAGCGGCGCTGCTCGAGAGCTCATCACCAGAGCCAGGGTTGTCAGGGTCATCAGGACCTATGAATCTTCCTTCCCGGTAATGGCGATATTTGCGCGAGGTCATGCGGCTCTGGACCGAACCTTGTAACGACTGGGCATGGCCGGTTAATGACTGCCTTGTCCACCTTCTAGATAGCGAGCCAGATTCTGGAGGTGTGTCTTCATCGTCTTGAACTTGGCCAGGGTTTTGGATCTCAGGACGATCAGGGTTCGTGCGATCGACGAGGGTGATTTGCTGGGCTGTCGTCCTACGCGAAGATTGAGGAGGGAAAGAGTCTGGCAGGGTGGCCGAGCTGGCTCTATCGGGAGTCGAGTCTGTGGGGAGATGTGTGGTCGACATGGTGCTCAAACATGGCCATGCTTGGAGTGGAAGGACATGACACTTTGTTGAGGTGTCAAGCAAAAGTGTCAGCCTGGGCGAGATTCGTCGTCTGCGTTGCTTCCAAGTCGCGATCTCCGACGAGGTCAAAAACGGGCAGAGTGGGCGTCGATCATTGCGGAGACGGGAGATGTGCGCCAATGAACGCGACCGTACGTCACATTGCGTCACCAGAAAGTATACCTATCCAAGCTCCCTGTTTCTACAGAATCACCTGTCAAACAAATACCGCTGCTCCCTGCCTCTTTCTCATCTCCTCTATACCATCCCCTAACAACAAAAACAACCCTCACAAACCTACACACAACTTCACAATGGCCGCTAGATCCCGTCTGCCCCTCATTGCTGGCCTCGGTGCCGCCACCTTTGGTGGTTACTACATGTACAGAGCTGGTGGCAGCCCCAAGGTCGCTGAGAAGGAGATGGANGTGTACGTACAACATCACCTCCAACACCGGACGAGTCGCTAACCTTGTTCAGACGATGCTGCCCGCCTCTCAAGATCAACAAAGGATGAGCTTCCTGGCCGTGCCAAGGAGTTCAAGACCGAGGCAAAGGTCTACGGCGAGCAGATTGGTCAGAAGATTGACGGTGCCGTGAGTTGCATGACCACTTATCTCCTTGCAAATATTTGCTAACACTATTCCCAGGTCAAGGACGCCCGCGACAAGACGCGCGAGTTGGACGCAAAGTTCGAGTCGTACCGCGCTGACGCAGAGAAGAACATCGACCAGTACAGAAAGGAGGCCAACAAGGAATTTAACAGCGCCGTTGACACCTTTGACAAGAAGGTCGGTGATGCTGCTGCCAACGCAAAGGCCACCGTCGAGGCCAATGCAGAAAAGGCAAAGAGCGGCTTCTCCAGCTGGTTCGGCGGCAAGTAAACTTGTTTGCTTTGCACACCTACCTTGCGCGCAACATGAGACTCGGATGGCATGAACACCTTTTAATCTTCGCTTCATCAGCACTTTCAGCGATTGTACTATATTATCAAGCATGACCCTACGTTGCGGAATGAGAATTGAATAACGATCCTACCAATCTTGTCTACTCGTGTCACCATTGAGCTTCCTGTGATTGTGTCTCGTATTCGAATTTTGGGATTCCTGATGTCAGTATGGGCGTATGGTAAGCATCGATGCTGCAAGCGAAAAGATCGTGATTAAAAGGCTTCACTCTCGAGGGTGAGGTGTTTGGTCATTCTCGCAAGTGGTTCGGTGCAGCTCCTTACTATTCCGTCAGAAACGGCGATTGACATATTGTACATTAACCTTGTTCGCGGTTCCGACCACAAAGCATCTAAACATGAACTTTCTGCCTGTCCACATTTGTCTAGATGATCATCGAATGTATAATTACAAAAATGATTGGTTTATCATGGATATACTGTTCGGAGGAGATTGGAGATGGTGTGACCCTGACTTATGGCGATGAAGCTTCGACAGCTTGGCAGGCACTTTACACGGTCGCGATGCTGACACGAAGAGACGCGCATCACCGGGCCATCGCGCCCACGTTCCTTTGTTTTGGTCGTCATTGATTGTTGGAAGAAGATCAGTTATCGCCATTGCTTGATAGTATTATACTCAATTCATCCTTCAACGAGCATATCATCTCATATTCACTATCATGCCTGTCACGAGGAAACGCAAGGCCGTCAGTCCCGACACTGCTAAACAAAACACCGTCGCCAGCCAAAAGACAATCAATACCTTTGGACGTGTCACAAAGAGTCAAAAAGCCGACCAGTCTGTCAAGAAGCGCAAGATATTGGATCCAGTCACCATTGATACCTCATCATCACCATCACAAGACACCACCGAGAGCATCACCACACGGCAGAAAGAGCAGGAACCACAAGTGAAGCCGACACAATCCAAGAAGAGGTCAAGGGACACGGAAGAAGAAGTCACAACACCAACAAACAAGAGATTCAGGAATGCCCTGCCGCCAACTCCTGCAGAGACGCCATCAAAAAGTGCTTCCAAGTTGTTTGAAAGACTGCTCTTGGATAATGCCGCTCCTGCTCCGACGAATCCAACACAAGACGCCGTCTACGACACACCTCCACTCACTCCGCGCGCCTTCAAGAGTCTTGAATCATCATTACCCACCACCGAATTGCCCGCTCAGTTACAAGAGTTGACCAGACTGTTCAAGGCATTCCTTACAAGCACATCATTATACTCCGCCCACAATGGCCATGGCACGCCAATGTATATTGCCAACTTATTACCACATGTCACAAGGAGCTGGAAGACAAGAGCCGTCACAGAGAGCGACATGCATACCATCCTCGGCATTCTTGGAAAGAACAACACCTTTGAGTTGGCCGACAATGGAGAAGGAAGCCTCTGCATTGAGCTCTTGGAAACGAACACTTCCACGACCGGCCACTTCAACCAACCAGAGCTCATTCAGCTCTTCCACAACCGTCTGACATCATTCTGGAACCAATGGATCTCCTCATCACCAACAGCCCGTTCAAACATTCAAGGCTTCCTATCCCAGCTGCCAACCTGCAATATCATCACCAGCCAAGTCGCTTCCAGCACAGCCACCAACCTCACCAAAGGCTCAGAACGCCTCCAAGACCTCAAAGCCGCCTCACTCGCCGCACGCGCTGCAGAAACCTCCGCCCGAAGACCTCTAATCCAACCTTCCGACAAATCCGCCGCTGCAGTCGCCAGCCGCGGTGCCAACCTCCTCGACCGCATCCTCGCCAAACAAGCCTTTAACGCCACCAAAGCATCCGGACCTTCTGCTGCCCATCTCGCCCGCCTGTCCGCCATCGACCGCATTTCCGATATCGTAGACGTCCTCGATGTACTTGCCAACGGCCGNCGCGCAAGTTTCTCGACCAAGATTTTGGTCTCGCATTTGCAGAATTCGTTGCGCGGGCCTATTTCTGAGGAGCAGGGGAACAAGTGTTTGGAGATTATGGCTAAGGAGGTAACGCCGTTGTTTGTTAAGGTTATCAGGGCGGGGAGTGTGGATGCTGTTGTTGTTACTAGAGGTGGTAAACCCAGACCTGAGGAATTAAGAAGGGCACTTGAGGATGCTAGAAATGTTTGAGGGGGGAGTTGAGACAAGGGATGAGGATTATTCTTAAACAGATGATCCGAGGAAGAATCACAAACACAGATTTCTGCTTGCTAGAATAAATGATATTGGCGAACACGTTTCTTTCGCATATGATAAGATCGTTATTGCCACTTAAGCTCGATTGCCATGTTTCACAATCCTCAATCTGCGGTTCTGGAAATTGTAGGCCTTGGGGAAGCTCAAAGTTGCACAAAGCTTGATCTTCGGGGATTGCTCTTGATGGAGTTGGACTTTATTTCAACCTCAAGTGCATGCAATGCAAGCTTTTCTCGATTCTTTCGATCTTCCTTTTTTTTTTTTTTTTTGCGTCACAAAGTTTCTCGATTTTCTTTTGCTAATGAGGTATGAGTATAATTCTTTGGAGTGTCATTGTATTATTCTATCACAAAAGTGGGTCTGGGGAAACAAGGGTAGTGGTGAGTAAGAGGTTGTTTTTGATCTTTTTGCGTTTTTCGCTGTTCTGTTTTTGGTAGGTTGCTTCTGGAGCTTGTAGGGAAGAGATGGAACAGAAGAGCACAAAAAAGTCGAAACAAGCCTTTTGAACCACAGCCAGGCAACACAGCTCTCTCCCCTCCTTTTCCCACATTTCTTTCCCCATATCCTGTTCCCTTTCTTTATTACCCATCACCCATTTCCCTGAAACCTTTTGGATGTCAAAGCCACACAAAAGAGACACAAAAACCCAAGTGACGCAAAAGAACCCAGAAAACGCAATATCTGGGTAGAAAGACAAAACAAAGAAGAACAATGAAACTCTTAAGGCCTGTTGCAGGCCTTTCCCAAATCATAGCTGCAAAAACCAGTTAGGAACTCTGACTTTTGATGCATGGTAAAAGTAGTAGGGAAGAAAGAGGGGATGGTGCGGATACAAGAACACGATAGCTTTGTCTATGCTCAACCGCTTCTGACATTGTTCCTCGAGTTTCGTACTAGGCGATTCTCAAGCAATATATCTTGCTTTGGTGCAGAGGTCGATAAAATCTCCATTGCCGTCGCTTGAATGAACCGCCGAACCCTTCCTTCTGAACCTCAAGCCTCTTTGCTCGATGCCCTGGAAGTACGCTCAGGGTCTGGTAGTCACACAGTTCAGTGGACCTCTGGGTGCGTTTGAGCAATTGTCGCATGGCCCGTTGGGGATAGGTCGGACATATTTCCAATGTCTGCGACGACAAAAGTCGCAGGCCAGGCGATAATTGCCTCTATGGAATTTTCCCGGTCTCTTTTGGAGGCCGGGAATGATGTGAATAGCGGCGGCGGGAGCGGTGGCAGCGGCCGGGTTAGTATCGTCGGCATCAGGATCTTCTTCCTCACCAGATTCTGCGTCATCAGAGTCTTCCTCTTCTTCCTCCTCTTCTTGGGCAGCTTCTTCGTCCTCATCTTCTTCTTGCTCGTCCTCATCGTTATCCTGATCATCGTTGGCGGCAGAAGAGGCAGAAGAGATGTGGTTACGCACATCATCACTCCCGCTGCCAAATCTCTCTTGCCTAGACTGATGTCCTGCAAGTGCTCTGGCCTCATTCAGACGACTCTGGTAGGAAGAGGTGCCATTGATACCACCGAAGCCCCAGGCGCCTCTTCTTGCCACATTGCCATCAAAAGTAGCAAGGTTGTGGGTAGCAGCAGCAGGGTAGAATTGATGATGGGAAGGGGCGCTGGAGAAGGGGATGGAGGAGGACGGGTAAGCTGGAACACCAGGGACAAAAGAGGGAGTGAAGGCAGGGGCGATGGGGTTCAGTCTAGGAGGCGAACGACGGCGGTGAAAGTTGTTCTGACTCTGCGGAGGAGAGTGAGAACGGCGTTGAACAGGAGGAGCCGCAGGGTGAGGACGGTATGGCAGGCCAGGAGGAGGAAAACCATAGTCGCTCATGTCACGGGCTACAGGGTGGGCGAAAGGTGGGTTGTCGTAATGAGAGGGATAGTAGCCATAGCCAAGCTGATGACCGGGGTAATGGCCATAGTTGTGGTTCATGGCATTACCATCGGTTCCATTCCAGTTCTGAGGGCGCTGGGCAGTGGCAGGGTAATAGCCATGATTAGGGTAGGCAGAACCACTGTGACTGCCTGCCCAGTGATCAGTGGGTTGAGTGACAACAGCGGTACGGCCAGCAGTCTGCACGTCTCGTCGAAGAGGATATGGAACAGGTTGAGAATCCAGAGGATCCAGGAGACCAGCGACCCAGCTACACATAAATGTAAGTCCCACATTGTTCTCCTGGTAAGTGCAAAATTTTTTACTTACTTGGGGTCGTCGATCAAGGCATGGTTTGCTTGCACAAATGCTGCCGTTTCGGCAGACATTTGGCCACTGTTCCCTCCACGGAGGACAGTGGGGGCAGAATCAGCAGCCCGCAAAACGTTGACTAGCATGTCGCGCTGGTTTGGCAGCTCGCCAAAGAACAGCGGAGTGGTGCTGCTGCTCAGATGTTAGTCTGGGCCAGCGATGATCAAAGAGGGTCCTACTTCATGGCGGCGCGATTGTTGTTGTACTCGTTGTGAGACATTCTTGATGATCCTATACCTTCAAAGTCAGCAAGAGTTAGACCAAGGGGTAGCGAGAGATCTGACAATGCTCAAGTGGAGTTGGCTTTCTCTAGGTAGGATCGTTGCGGTTGAGATTGTGAGAGGGTGCTGGTGATTCGAAAGTTAGCGATGCGCGCACAGAAGCAATATTGCACCCGTTCAAGGAGTTCTCTGAGGCGTGTGGATGAGAAGGAGATGGGGAGAGAAGAGTGCGCAGTCGCGTGAAGAAGGGGGATCAGACAAGCGGCGCCGACAGCACTCGCGCGAACAAGGGATGGATTAGGGGCGACAACGATAGAAGGCGCAAAAGGAGACTTACCAAGGATTTGGCACACGAAGATAACGACGAAGAAAGGATCAAGAGTGCTGTGCCTTTTACTTAATAGAACTGGTGGTTGCAAAATGATGATCGAAAACGAGACGAGGTTGGTGCGTGACTCGAAGTAGCAAAATCCGTACCGAGACCCACGAAACACGAACAACATCGAGTTCGGGCAAGAACTGCGGACAAAATCAACGTGCGGCTATGGCTTCTGAGAATCTAGTCGGAGAGGATGCATTCATGACTGGTTTCAACTTTCAAGTATTAATGCAATGGCTATCAAGAGAGAAAACAAGACTGAAGCTCTCAAAAGCAGAAGAAAGAAACACCAATCAACTCCAAACCCAGGGTATCATCGTAACAGCAAACCGTCCTCATTAAGAAAGCATTCTCTCCCGATCCCCTGAACGCCAAAACTAGCAACCATGACGAGGCAAAAGAAGAAACCCATGGACAGCAAACCATCGAAAAAAGCAGCATTAGTGGCAGGCAAGTGAGGCCAAAGCATGAAGGTTCATGTCGAAGAACCCAGAGAAATTCGATTTGATCAATCGATCAGAGAATGGACGAAAGAGTTGACGATCCAGTTGATCTCCAATGCGACAGAAGTTGTGATAGAGCAAAGGTTTTGGTGCGCAACGAGTAAGAGCGGAGATTCGCTCCCCAGTTCAGCTGGAAGTGCTGGAAGTGGCTTGTCTCGATGTCTTCTTAACCCCGCTACGATACGAAGCCCTGGGCTTGCGTATGCATGGGATTCCTTTCTTGAAACACTTCTCGCATGCTTCTCCATCGCCTCTAGAAAGGCACTTGATTTTCAAACTGCGGCACTGTTCGCAAGTGATGCGTAAGGCTGAACGTTTGACTTTGGAACGGGATGGGTGAGGGACACTGACCTTGTCTGGAATCATGTTAGCATCAGCTTTCAAGAGTAGAGGCTGGAAGACCCACCAGTATCGCTCTTCGTAAGAGCCCCCAGAGTATCGTTGCTTGTAGCGAATGGGTTGCTCGTACGTAGGATTTCTGTGGCGGCCGAGTCCCAGACTTGTTCGATTGTGGGGTGTTGCAGAGAGACGCTCAACTCCTCGGCTGAACTTCTAGACGTCAGTAAACATCGACATGGACGGGGACCTGCATTCAAGGGTCACGTACGTGAATGGGTTGTTGGCCCTTAGGGAGGCAAGTGCTGGAGATGCGGCGAAGAAGGAAGAAGGTTCGACGGCAGAACGGTCGTGAAAAGGGAGGAGAGGCGTGGTAGACTTGAGCTTGGTCAAGGGGCGGATAGTCGAAGGCTTGGTTCTCGCCACGGGCTTGAGCTTCCTGGTGGACTTGACTCTCATCGAGCAATGCTTGAGCCTGGCCATACACAGTTATGTCGTAGCGGTAGTCGTCATGAAAGCGAGCAGTAGCAGCGTTGTGGTCGTAGACTCATGCGTGATCGTCTCTCATGTTGTTAGGGAATCTGTTTATATTCATCGTGAAGATGTCGATGTGGATGAGTTAGGTTGAGTTGACGACAACTTGGCTGCGATGTTGGATGAAGAAAGAGATGCGTCAAAACAACATCTGGTGTTGTTATTGTCGAGAACACGCTCGACAGAGAACCCTCCGGAAGCGCATCTGAAGCCGCACACTAGCAAACGGACCTACGACGACCAACCAGAAATGCGGTCATAGCTTGGTTCTATTAGGGGACAGTCGTAACAATATCACAGAAGTAATTGTATGCAATTTGAAAATGGTATTGAGAGTCCAGCTCTATCGTATCATTCTGCTTCTTCGGGACGACCTCCAGGGTCTTGATATGCTTGCTGATTGTGGTGCCCTTTCAATCTTCTTGCTCTCCCCAGTATTATTCGCTCATCTCGACATCATTCCTTTGCTTCTAACCATCCATCAAGTCGTACCACAGAGCTTGGCGAGCATCCAAGGTTTCCCAAGGATGCATCGAGTGGTCTTCTTCAAGACGAACTTGCTCCTGAGTGAACGTGACATACTCACCGTTCTGAGCCATGAACGTTCCAGGCACTCTCTCTTCGACTCCATCGACTTCGAGTTGCTGCTCGATGGCGTATCCCCAGCCAGCAGCTTCGGTATCACTCTGCTCATCGTTGGAGTTCTCGTCTTCAAC